CAAACTTTCTGTCACACTGACAGATTTTTTTATTATTTTTTTATTTTTTTTTAATGCTGAACCAATGCGGGAAGCCTGCTTAGATGCTAGACTTTAAACATAATACCAGTATATATTTTTTTACGGTACTATTGAAATCATTATATTGATTGAAAGCAAAGTTAGAGGTTGGTGGCATTTAAGTAAATATGGAGCTTAACTAACTGTGTGTACCTTTTTTTCTTGTTCGCTTGCAGGTTTTTACAGCGATAACACATATGTCATATGTGTTAACAACAACAAAAAACACCAACAAACCAAATCCAATGTTGGTTATCATTAAATGTCTTTTTAATATAGCAGATTTAAGTAAAATAGTATTAAAAAATATTACTGTTTCACAGACTTTTTGTTCATGGATTTATTACTGAGGTAGCAACTGACTTCATCCTCTTCCCATCCTACCCCCAAAATATCTTTAACGATCATTTTCTTCTCAGACTTTTGTGTACTAGCGTTGATCAGTAATTCTGATTCATATCATCGAATATCTGCACCTCTCCTGTAGGAAAGGTTGGGAGAACTGGTTTGTTTAGCTTGGAGGAGAGAAGATTTCAAGAAAATCTCATTGCGGCCTTCCAGTACTTAAGGGAGCATGTAAACAGGAGGTGGTACGACTGTTTATGAGGATGAACTGTGATAGGACAAGGGGGAATGGTTTTAAAGTAAGACAGGGGAGGTTTAGGTTAGATATTAGGAGGAAGTTTTTCACACAGAGGGTGGTGACACACTGGAACAGGTTGCCTAAGGAGGTTGTGGATGCCCCATCCCTGGAGGCATTCAAGGCCAGGCTGGATGTGGCTCTCAACAGCCTGGTCTGGTGGTTGGCAACTCTGCAAGTAGCAGGGGGGTTGAAACTAGATGATCATTCTGGTCCTTTTCAACTCAGGCCATTCTATGATTCCATGATAAAACTACGTGAAAAATAAATTAGCTTCAGAAAGAGTGAAGATATGTCTCAATACATATGCACATATCATTTAGTCTGCAAATTTCTTCTTAACTTGACCCTAAAGCAAAAGAGCAATGCTTTATTTGTTCTCTTGTTTAAACAATGTCAGTTCTTTATTTGCTCTTTTCAACCTGCTTTTCATTTAGTTGCTCAGTTCAATAACAGCAAAAAAAAACAACATAACCAAAGCCAAAAAGAAATAGCTCTACTGAATACAAAAATCACAGAATCAAAGGGGTTGGAAGGGACCTCCAGAGATCATCAAATCCAAGCCCCCTGCTAAAGTAGGTTCCCTATACCAGGTTGCACAAGTAGGTGTCCACATGGGTCTTGAATGTCTCCAGAGAAGGATACTGCACAACCTCCCTGGGCAGCCTGTTCCAGTGCTCCGTCACCCTCACCGTAAAGAAGTTCTTGCGCACATTTGTGCGGAACTTCCTATGCTGCAATTTCCAGCCGTAGTCCTGTCTCCACACACTGTTGAAAACAGTCTGGCTTCACCACTCTGCCCCCCACACCTTAGATATTTATAGACCTGCATCAGGTCCCCTCTTAGTCTTCTTTTCTTGAGGCTAAACAGACTCAGTTCACTTAGCCTTTCCTCATAGGAGAGATGCTCCAGGCCCTTCACCATCTTTGTGGCCCTCTGCTGGACTCTTACAACAGATCCCTGTCTTTTTTGTACTGGGGAGCCCAGAACTGGACACGACTCCAAATGAGGCCTTACCAGGGCAGAGTAGAGGGGTAGGATCACCTCCCTCGATCTGCTGGCCATGCTCTTTTTAATGCACTCCAGAATGCCATTGGCCTTTTTGGCCACAAAAATGATGGTTTTTCTATTAAAAATATTACCTACGTAATTCAGTGTATTGTGGATTGTAGTTATATCTGCAAGACAAGATAGATAGGTCACTCCAAAAGTAATGCCTCCTAGTAATTTTGACGTGGAGTATAACAGATAATAAGAACAAAATAGCACTATTTGATAGATGAAAATTCTCAGCTACAAAACACTATTTTTCAGCACAGTCAGCACTATTAGCTATGCCAGTGGTGAATGAAAGCCTGTGCATGCTGCATTCATAAACATCTGCACCAGTGGAGGTAGCCCACTGTCACCACTGCTGAAACATACCACCCACTGCCTAACTGTGCTCATATCCACTGTTTGGTCTCCAGAAAAATTCAGCAAAGAAGCATCAAAGAATGTCACTAGGTGCCATTTTTCCAGCATGAAGGAATTCAGTGACATACTCTTGCTTCATATGCACTTCCTTGTTAGATGTGATATTCTCAGACTGCCCCTCTGCTGCCATCTGTCACATGGCAGCAACATGCAATGGAATATCGGTGGAAAGGTTCAACTCTACTGCCAGCATTCTCCTCTGATGTCATAGGACAGTGTTATGAAATTGGAGGTATTACTTTTGGAGCAGCTCTCAGCATTTCCGCTTCCAAAGCTTCCAAAGATAACTCCTATGTGAAGTTACCTTTTGAGAACAGTATTAGATGGAAATATACATATAATCATAGGATAAAATTTTGTGTGGTTTCAGTGACTGTAGCTCAGCACTTTTAAGAATTAGTTATTGATATGACTGCTAAATATGAATGTTCTTCCATGGCTTTACTCTCACATCTCACACTAGAATTATTGTCTAATTTTATATTAAGAGTTTGGGTGACACGGGTAGGAAAAGCCAAATGTGATAGAAGTAGAATGTAGCTGTCTGTTGGAAATACATTTTAATGTGAATAAAATGTAACTTGTTAAATCATACTTCACATGCACAGGGTATGTTTTAATATAGTTCCCTACATGTAGTTGAATGTTCTTGCTCTTCGTGAGTATTAGGTGTATAGTCCTTTGCTACTTTTGGATACTTACTAATATTGTAGAAGTAGGTGTGTTTAAGTTAGTGGAATTGATATTGGGCAGATATAGCCAAAGACATTTTTAGCTTTTTTTGAAAGTAAGTATTTATTTATTTATTTCATAACATCAAGTTTGCTCTCTGGTGTCACAGACAGACCTGGATGCATTGCTCATGTCACAGCATTCACAATCTTTGACTACTCTACTGATTTTCCCAGTTAGATTTTATGGCAGCAAATGGTTTTAGTATCCATGTGCTTGTTATGAACATGTATACAGCAAGTTGAGATTTTCTGAAACTTCTCTTTATAAGTACTTTTTTTTTTTTTCTTTTTCTTTTTTTTTCTGTTTTCCAGACTTCTTTAAGTAGAAATAAATCACTATTATTATATTAGAGCCCAATATACACAGCAGGGTACATGATGTTTTACTTTCCCCTATTTATTTTTTTCTTGTTGTTTGTTTGTTTTTAATTCAAACTGGAAAAATGAATATGTACAAAGAGCAAAGCTCAGTGAAATCACTGGTGCTCTGCAGGAGCTTGTGTCTTTTTTTTTGATCCTATAGAAAGTTCAATTCTGAAAGTACACAGGTACATCAGCGCAAGATGTGAAATGTTTTCTTCTATATATGTAAAGTTTGAAAAGAAATAGAAAACTGTTAATGATCAATAAAAATATAATTCAGAGAAAAAGTTTAGGAAAACCTTCACATAAAGAACAGAGAAGTATCTGCCAGCATTAGTTCCAAAAATCGAATGTCTCTTTCAGATAATCTTCAAGTATTCTGAATTTGCTGAGATATTTCAGTGATTCTTTGCATGTGGATTGATATGAAGTGAAAAAAAGATTTTTGTCTGCTTGACTTCAAAGACATTCCTGTAATAGCTGTTTCTGAGTAGAAGAGAACATTCAGAGAAGTCCCTTTTGCAATGCTTTGTGTGCTTTGTGTGAAATTAGTTCAGATTTCAGTTTAATGGTTTAATGGCCTGAGCCTTTCACTTACTGATAGCATACAAACAAAACAGCAAGTCTAAGGAGAGACTAGGTTCTCCTCTGTGCTTACTTTAAGAACTCTACAAAGAACAATGTTGGACACTGAAATCTATATTGACTCTGAAACAATAAACCAATGACTCAAGCCAATATCTGTTCACTTAATGTGCTCAAAAACTTAGCTGTGTATCATGAGAGCATCATTCATCTGGCAGCGAGAGAACTACAAGTTTTAGCACTTTCTTGTTTCTTTCTTTCTTTGACTTCTAATCTAGAAAGCAGTCAAAAAAAGGACTGAAGTGTGATAACCATATAATTTCAGCTCAGTGGTTGTAGCAATCAGAGAATGCTTGGCAGTTAAAATTCTGTGATGAAGTGCTTGCAAAAAAATATTGATGTATTTTAATATGTTCTTGCTTTGTATTATTTGCATATTTTCCAGTGAAAAACCTTTTGTTTTCTGTAAGATGCTATTATCCTGATTGAATTTCCAGCAATTAAGATGTAGTCATATAACTTAAGTATATAACTATAAATTTAAAAATCTTTATGAACCATCTCCTAAGAATGCACCCACAGTAAATGGACTCATTTTCTTGTAATTTACTAAAAATACTTATATGAGAGTGGTTGTCATGTGGAAAGTATGTATGTTAGTCCCTGCTGTTGCCTTGTATTAATAAGATTGTTTGATTGTATTAATCAGAAGGTTTGTAACATATGAAGTGATGTAGCCTCATGCTTCTTACTTTGAATCGTAGCTGAAAAATGATCTTCTGAACTAAATCATGTGATGAAAGCACAGGAGCCTGAAAACAAATAACGCTAATAAACTTAGATGTTGCAATATGTATCTTAAGTATTTTTGAGGGTGAAAAGAGTCATCTAGAGGCCTTTTAGTAAGTTTGTTTCATTTTATAACAACTGTCTAAAGGTACATTGACTTTGGATATTCTCTGAAAAATAAAGCCTTCTTAATAGCAAATCCTGAAGCAACTAGCTTGATCTCATTCTGTGTAGACGCTATTTGGCTGTACTACTTTTAATAAAAGCAACTGGACTTTTTAGTACTTTTCAAAATGCTTCGAGTTGTGGAGCAATTATCTGACTTGGTTTTGTTTTTTGCTTTTTCTTACAGAACGAGAGAAGTGAAGGAACTACAACTGATTTCTATATTGTAATTTGATCAAAATGTTTTTGCACTAGAAGCTTGAACATTCTTGCTTCTTATGGAGGCGTTATAAATAACAAATGGCTAAGGTTCTGTAAAACTTAACTACCAGTCTGAAACATGGAGACGCAGCTAGACCCCACGAAGGATGACTTGCCCTTAATGGCCAACACTAGCCACATGCTTGTAAAGCACTATGTTTTGGACTTGGATGTGGATTTTAAAAGTCGAGTTATAGAAGGAATCATAGTTTTATTTTTGGAGACAGGGAGCAGATACAGGAAAGCCAGTAGTACTGGTAAAAAAGGCTGCCAGTCACACCTTAATGAAACCTGTAAAACTGGGGCATCAGAACCTTGCCATGTTTCTGTGTCAAATGCAAATGTCTTCTCATCTGAAGCAGAATATAGCGATTTTGCTGTCTGTCGTAAAGGTGGAAAAGATACTTCTGATAAAAACGGTAACCATAGCAACGAGAAGCAAACTTCTGGGATTTCTAGTTCAAAGAATTGCTGTGACAAAGAGAACCATGTGAACAAGGATTTTCTGCTGGTATTGGACTGCTGCGATTTATCTGTGCTAAAGGTTGAGGAGGTAGATATTGCTGCTGTGCCAGGCATTGAGAAATTCACCATGTCTGCTGAACTAACTGATGTTTCAAAGGAGTTGGAAAATCTCAGAAATCAGATTGTACATGAACTTGTGACTTTACCTTCGGATCGCTGTCAGGAACAGCTACACTATTTCACTTGCTGCAGCCAGGCACCTGGCTGTGGAGAGCTTGAGTTTACTACTAGTTGCTGGAGCTTGGAGATAAGGAAACAGGGAGTTCAGACTCCAACAGACTTTCCTCATGCTATAAGAATACGGTACAAAACCAAACCTGAGGGAAGATCTGTTACATGGACTACCGACCAGAGTGGCAGGTATGTAGATTATCTGAAAGATTTTGCACTTGTTAATTTTAAACACAAGTATGAGAATGTTCATTTGTGTACTGCTGAGGAGCTCTGTGAAAATGATGAGCATTCCCTTTCACTGTATCTCTTGTGTACTTGGTTTGAATCCTACTCTATTCTGCAGAATAACAGATAAACTGTGCTCTGGAGACTCCACAGTGCTTGCAGAGCTCAAGTCTGCCTAAATGATTGTGCTTCCTCAAACTAAATGGGAATAAACAATTATTGAGTATTGGGGTAAGTGTGCGAAGGGAATAGGAGATCAGCATTTTGAGGAAGGGAGATATATGTGACAAATTATTTTCATTTTAGTACTTTATGTTCTCTTTCCTTTCTAGCTTAAACAACAATTCATACCACGTAAAAATCAATATGCTGAACATTTAATAGAATATCTTCACAGCTAGTCTTTTATCAACACTGTACCAAGTTTACAGATTCAGTCTTTTCCTCATAAATCTCTCATAATCAACTTTGAAAATCTTCACCTCTTATGTAAAATACACTGATGTTGGCAAAGGAACTGCTTTTTTTTTTATCTGGCTTTTATGAATGTACACAGTGTTATACAGAAATCTTCAAGATAAGATTTTTGTGTGAGTGGATCCACAATTCACTCTTGACTTACACAACTGTATCTGTAATGTTCAAAGATGGATTTTAATAACTATTATTTCTTTAAGTCTGTGATACTTCGAAATTGGGGGCAAAGTTGGAAGGTGATGAATAAATTCTGAATAATACTTCCTTTTCATTCCTAAAGTAGTGATGTATGATTACGTTTCATTTCAGTTATGCTAACATAAATTAAGAGTTTGCTCAGAGGCACCTATGTATTTAGTTTATTCTCTGGTAAACCGTGATCAGCATAAAGCCCAGTAGTTAATTAGTTAGTGGATAATATTCATTAATTCCTACACTTCCCCTTCTCTCCTCACTCCTCAATACATTATTCACAATATAAGTGCAGGAAATTTAACTTAAGATAATCGTTAGTTACAGAAATTCTGAATTTTGCCTGAAGCACAAGATAGTATAATTCTCAGTCTGTTACCTGAGTATAATTACTCAGTCTGTTAACAGTCTAAGTCTGTTACCGTGAAGCTTTATGGATTAGTGGGTTTAGGCACATTCAGGTATGAGTACGCAAACCTGATGCAAACACATCAGGAAACACTTCTCTTTTCAGTACAGGAACTAAACACAGATAATTTCAGCATTTCATTGTATGTTCTTTGATACTAAAAAATCCTTAGATAGGAGTTGGATGATGGAATGTAAAAGCCACGTAAGCACTTCTTAAGAGCAGCTAAAGCATCAGTTTGTTATCAACTGTACTCAGTTCTGGTGAGGCCATACCCTGAATTCTGTATTCGGTTTTATGCCTCTCACTACTAGAAAGATACTGAGACTCTGGAGTGTGTCTAGAGAAGGGCAATAAAGCTGGTGAGGAATCTGGAGCACAAGTCTTATAGGGAGCTGCTGAAGGAACTGAGATTATTCAATCCAGAGAAGAGGAGGCCCAGGGGAAACCTCAATGCTCTCCACAAATGCCTGAAAGGAGGTTGTGTTGAAGTGGGAGCCTCTTCTCCCAGGTAACAGTAATAGGACAAGAAGGAATGGCCTCAAGTTGTGTCAAGGAAGGCTGGATATTAGGAAAAATTTTCTAAAGAATGGTCAGGAGTTGAAATGGGCTGCTGAGGGGTGGCGGAGTCACTATCCCTGGAGGTGTTCAAGAAATGTTAAGTTGTACTAAGGGACGTGCTTTAGTGGGGAAATATTGGAGGTAGGGGAGCAATTGAACTGGATGATCTCAGAGGTCTTTTCCAACCTTGGTGATTCTACTATTCCATTACTTTAAATCCAAAATACAGTGCTATACCTGCCACTATGAAAAAAACCTTATCCCAGCTGATACCAAGACATGCAACTTGCAAATTTGCCTCTAATGGGAGATATTTCGCACTGTTTTTCTGACCTACTTCTAGCACTTCTAGTGCTGTCTAAATTAGTTACTGATTTTGTTGATATTAGTGAGAAAACGGAATGGAATTGGAAATCTTTGTTTAATGAGGGTGTGGGAATGAAAGAGTATCTTTGATATGAAAGGCATCAATGGAAAAGCATGACAATGAAAGCTGGGTCCTAATCGTGTACTGACCTGTGCATTGTTTACTTTGGCACACATGAACAGGTCAGTCTATTTGGACTGAGGTTCAGCACATTCATATGTAATCATATTTTTTTTTAGTTTGGTGCCCAAATAGTAGATAAATAGGAAAGATAAATAAGTAGGAAAAGATAAATTATGGAAAGGAGATGAGTTGAATTCTTGGAGTATATGATTCACCTGATTGCTATGGAAGAAATATACTTTTAGAAGGTATTAATGGACAATTGCGCAATTCTGGGGAAACTCAAGAAAGATTTAAATTTGTGCTGATTTGAGAGGTCCCCAAAATGGAAAAGGTTAAACTGTGAAATGAGCTCTTAAAAAAAAAAAAAAAAAAAAAGTGAAATTCTGATATTTGTTTGACCAATGTAAATGCCTTTTCTTTAAAAAATATTTTATACCCATCTAGCTTGTTATCTTCGTACTATCTTACTGTTAGATTAACATACTGACACATTTTTAAAGAATTCATGAATGTTTTTTGACTTTATGAAAGCTATACATGTGAATACAGCAAGCATAAATGTATAATTAGGTAAAAATGCAAATACAGATGCAAGTAAACATATGTAAATGCTTTTGTTTTTGAGCTGCAGTATTCAAATGTATATCACAGATGTAGCTGTTACTCATTTGTTATAAATAATCTTGCATTTCTGTAATGGACAGCTGAAGCATATGAGGCAAACAGCGACATGGTACCCAAAAAGGTGGCACCTAGCATAGCATGATGGACCAGTAAACCCCTAAAATGGGAGAAGACTCACTGGTTATGGATATGAACTTCTGAGTATATCGCAGGGTATGACTGGCCGCAGCTGTCACAAAGAAAGCTGACATCTCAGAACAAAAGGGGCCATTGTGTGATCTTTGTTTTAGATAAACAGCTATGTGAGATGAGTAGATCGACTGCTGATGTACATGTTTTTCCCTGAATTCACTGAAAGATTGTTAATGTCTCCCTGAGTCAACTTGGTCAGTATGGGGGATTAAATACATGGCAACATAGGGTATAAAAATTAAACAAGAAGAAGTTGTTGAAGACAACTAGTAGGCTTGCACTATCTTCATTCCATGTATTCCTCACTGATGGCTGTGAATGTCCAGCACCGTAGTGGTGAGTGTGTTACAGGCTGGTAATAGGAATCATATTGATACTGTGATTTGAACTGTGTATTGCAGTAACTGTATTTTAATAGGAGGAAGTTAATTTGTTCTGTGTTTCCAGTATATATTATATCACTCTTCTAAATCAAAATTGTGATGTTATATCAAATATCATCAAAGAAGTAATTTTGATATTAAACACTACACCCTACATACATAGAACAGACCTTGGTTTCATGCTCAACTTATTTGATGTGACTGGTGCTGCTGAAATGCAAAGAACAAGTAGAAAATTTGTGCATGATTTATGCAGAATTGTTGTCATATAATGGTTTAGTTTGGAAAGAACTTGTAAAGGATATCATCCAACCTCCTGCCATGAGCAGCAATACCTTCTACTGGACTACACTTCCCAAAGTGCCATCCAGCCTGGCATTGAACCCTTCCAGCTTCTCTGCTCAACCTGTTCCCAATCTTACCAGCTTCATCATAACAAAAATAAAAATGAAAATCTACCTTACACAAAATTTAGATCTACCCTCTTATAGTTAAAAACTACTGCCCCCGTCTTATCATTAAAGGTAAAAAGCCTTCTTCATTTTTCTTATAAACCTTCTTTATCTGTTGAAATGTTGCCGTAAAATTTTGCCAAAGATTCTCCAGGCTGAACAAGCCCAGCTCCCTCAGCCTGTTTTTGTAAGACATGGGCACTAGCCCTCTGAGCATCTCTGTGGCCTCTTCTTGGCCCACTGCAACAGTTCCACATCATTCTTGTGCTGAGGGCCCCAAGCCTTCACACAGAACTCCAGATGGGGCTTCAGGAAGGCAGAAGGAAGGCAGAGGAAGTGTCATAAATGTCAGTAAAGGCTACAATGTAATCCTTAGAAGATAGAAGCCTTTCTTGGCCTTATGGTTTCAGCTTAGAGCTATTGTATGAGACTGAAAAGCTAATGCAGAAAATTCTTTTGTGGTTCATGTAAAAATTATTGTTGTATTTTTGCTTTTCTTTATCTTGTCTTAAATGGCTTAAATGGAACTTTGATTCTTGTCAAACAAGTTTGAAACCTAGCTGAGAAAGTTAAGTATAAAAGCGATACAACAATATGTTTGATCTTTGACAGAAAACACAATTGAGTCTTTTTTTGTAACTCTGCCACCCATCTCAATTCCTTCCATGTAGGCCATGTGTTTATACGATGGGATCACCAATAAACAACAGAGCCCTTTTCCCGTGCCAAGAACCACCGATTGCCTCGTCAACGTGGCAAGCATCAGTCCGAGCATCGGCAGGCTTTGTTGTATTGATGAGTGGTGAAAAATCAGCAGAACCAGTCCAGCTTCAAGAAGGTGAAATTTATTTTCTATAGCAGTGTTTTCAGTAGCTTTATAATTGGATATACAGCTTAAGTAATGACATTATTTTTGAAAGGATGTAAAAGCACTTAAAGGATATCTACAAGTAATCTCTATGTGGGGTTGCCTATTCAAGGTCTCAGTAAGAATTAGTAAGAATTTGAGAATATTTTACAGACTTACTTTTTCCAAACCTAGATTTCACTTTTTGTGAATGACTTTATTTTAATTGCTCTGTAGTTGAATGTTTGACAGATAAAGTACTGAATCGAACTCTTGACAATCCAAGCCTTAATTAATTAAACTTTTGGTGTCTGTTCTTCAGTCCAAGTTGTAGCTTAGTGTGGCAGTAATTAAGAGCTGCCACTGTATTGTATGTTTCCTGAAAAATACTGAATAGATGAAGAATATCAGTTCCGTACTCTGAAAATCTGGTGTTTGCTTTTTGGGTTGGTTTTGTGTTTTTTGTTTGTTTGTTTTGATTTTTTTTTTTTTTTTTTTTTAATTGGTAGATAATGCTATCTGCAGCTGAAAGCAACCAAGCATTTTTCTGTTTTATTGGTTACTTCATTCTTTAGACCTCTGTCTGCACAGATAAAGAAATTTTTATGGCAGTTATCAAAATAATGTAAAGGATGTCTTGCCACCATTAGTTTTGAAGTTGTTTGAGAAGCACGGTCAATATTTTCTAGTGTAAGTAGTTTTGTTGTTAGACCTTTATGAATCCTGCTTTATGGAAGTGGTACTCATTGATGTTCAGTGAGAAATTAGGATTTTCATGCATCTCAATAATATTAATACTTAGAATTATCCTTCCTTAGTTAGGCCTAATTTAAGTACTGATTGGTCCAGAACTGGGAGAGAAGTCCTAGATTTCTGTTTTATTCCCACAAACAAACAAAGTAAACTGGCAAAACAAAGTAAACTGGATTCGTACAGCACCACTGTGGTATTAATCAACATTAATCAGTAGAGCTGCAGAAAGTGCAAGTTGTATTCAGGCTGCAGACAGAAGAAGAAAGCTTAACTTTCGCACAGAGAAATGGAGATAAGTTGAATGGGAACATTTTGTGGGGTGAATCCAACATCCATCTGGTGGCTATATACACTGATTTTTAAAAGTTTTTAAAGTTTAAGTCCCTAAATAAATGTATTCATTTCCGTTTGCAGTGGAGAAAGTTTGTGCTCCTTATGTTTGGACAAGGCCCACCACTCCACAGCTATATACTCTAGTTGTAAATAAATGAAATAAATATTATAGTCCTTGTATCTTACCCATTCTGATAAAAGAAGCTCTTAGAACTCAAGGAAAGCCAGCCTCAAATGGAACTGTTTTGGAAGTCTCCATTCTGAAGTAATATAAGATTTTAATACTTAAAATAATTACAATGATTACAAGGCAGGATTTAATCCTTACAGCAGTTATTTTCAACTGTAAAACTGTATATGAAATGACAACTCTTTTCACTTATTCCTGTCCTGATGAATTTGCTCAGTTTCACTCTTTCCATAATTCACCCCTCAGGCAAAGTTTAATAGTTGTTTTTAGCTACTGCCGTAGTGAACTGACTTCTTGTATAATCATTCAAAACTGTATAGCATATAGTGATAAAATAAGTTAATCTCTCAACACTTGCAAAAAGGGGCTGATGCCTATATTTAGATACGGCCAAAATTTTCTTTAATGGAAAACATATCGAAGCATTTGGATGCTGAAAAGTAGCTTAGGCATACTTTTGATGTATATAATTTTACTTCCTTTTGGCCAAAAGAATTGTAGACTGTGTAGTAGTTCTCTGCAAAGGTTTCTATCCTATGAAAAGATTGTTCAATGAAGGCTTGTGGAAAAGGTTAGAATTAGGTGCTTGTGGAAAAAAAAATCCCCTCTAAAGAATCAAATTTATATTTGAGAGGGGAAGAATGAATAAAAGTATCCTTAATTTGAGAGCCATCAATTTGCATTGAATTGTCCAATTATTTTGGTCATATGTAAAGCACGTTTCAAGCCTCGACTCTGCTGCTGAAATATGGACAACTGCTATGATGAGCTTCTCACTCATTTGGGCGATAGTCTTTTCCTGACATGGTATTAAGAAAGTGTTCTTGATTTCAGGCTAGGAGAACAGTTCTACTGTTACTGTATAATTTATTTTTATTCACACTCCTGCCTTGCTGATGAGTTGTTACCCGTACCTTGGTGGTGTCTGCATAGTGTAAAGTATTATGAAAAGAAAGGATTCTGTTCCTTTACAGGAACGCCGTCCGGACTTGCAGACGTGGGATCAGGGAAGCCAAGGCGCAGGCAGAACTGAACTTGGCAAGGGACGTGAAAAACAATAAGAAAACCTTCTACAGGTACATTGGCCAGAAGAGACAGGCCAAAACGGGCGTACCTACTTTGGTAAATTTAAAAGGAGAACTGGCTTCAACAGATGAAGAGAAAGCTGAGGTGCTGAATGAGTTCTTCACCTCGGTCTTCACTGGTGGCCAGGATTCTAGTCTTCTTCACGTCCATGAACCCTGCATCCCCAAACCTCTATGTGGGGACCAAGGAGGTAAATCCCTCCCCACTGTAAGGGCAGAGCAAGTCCGAGAGTACCTCCTTAGACTGAATGAATACAAGTCTATGGGGCCAGATGGCGTGCATCCCAGGGTCCTGAAGGAGCTGGCTGAGGTGGTTGCCGAGCCACCGACATATTTGAGAAGTCGTGGCTGTCAGGTGAGGTCCCGGATGACTGGAGGAAGGGTCACGTCACTCCCATATACAAGAAGGGGAGCAGGGAGGACCCGGGGAACTACAGGCCGGTGAGTCTCACCTCCGTGCCTGGGAAGATCATGGAACAGATCCTCCTGGACAACATGCTCGATCACATAAAGAATGAGCATGTGATCTGAGACAGCCAGCACGGCTTCACCAAGGGAAGGTCATGCCTGACTAATCTTGTGGCCTTCTATGATGGAGTGACAGCATTGGTGGACGAAGGGAAGGCGACCGATGTCATTTACCTGGACCTGAGCAAGGCCTTTGACATGGTCCCCCACCACATCCTCATCTCCAAATTGGAGGGAAGTGGATTTGATGGGTGGACGACCCGATGGATAAGCAATTGGTTGAAAGGCCGCAGACAGAGGGTGGTGGTCAATGGCTCTATGTCCAGGTGGAGGCCGGTAACAAGTGGTGTCCCCCAAGGGTCTGTCTTGGGACCGGTGCTCTTTAACATCTTTATTAATGACATCGATGAGGGAATTGAGTGCACCCTCAGCAAGTTTGCTGACGACACCAAGCTGAGTGGTGCGGTTGATACGGTGGAAGGAAGGGATGCCATTCAGAGGGACCTCGACAGGCTTGAGGGCTGGGCTCGGGTGAACCTAATGAGGTTCAACACGGCTAAGTGCAAGGTTTTGCATTTGGGCCGGAAGAACCCCGGGCACCCGTACAGGCTGGGAGGAGTGGTCCTTGAGAGCAGCTCGGCAGAGAAGGACCTCGGGGTCCTGATGGACGAGAGACTGAACATGAGCCAGCAGTGCGCTCTGGCAGCTCGAAAGGCAAATGGGATCCTGGGCTCCATCAGGAGAGGGGTGGTCAGCAGGGACAGGGAGGTGATTGTCCCTCTCTACTCGGCTCTTGTGAGGCCCCACCTGGAGTACTGTGTCCAGGTGTGGAGCCCTCAGTACAAGAAAGACATAGAGATTTTGGAAAGGGTCCAGAGGAGGGCGACTAAGATGATCAGGGGGCTGGAGCACCTCCCCTATGAGGACAGGCTGAGGGAGTTGGGCTTGTTCAGCCTGGAGAAGAGAAGGCTGCGGGGTGACCTCATTGCAGCCTATCAATACCTGAAGGGAACCTACACCCAGGAGGGGAGTCAACTCTTCAGAAGGGCTGACAACAGCAGGACTAGGGGAAATGGATCCAAGTTGAAGGAGGAAAGATTTAGGTTGGATGTTAGGGGGAAGTTCTTCACAAGGAGAGTAGTTAGGCCCTGGAACGGGCTGCCCAGGGAGGTTGTGGATGCCCCGTCCTTGGACGTGTTCAAGGCCAGGTTGGACGGGGTCCTGGGCAACCTGATCTGAATGTGTATGTTTGGTGGCCCTGCTAGGCAGGGGGGTTGGAACTACATGATCCTTGAGGTCCCTTCCAACCCGGGTGATTCTGTGATTCTGTGATTCTGTGATTCTGTGATTCTGTGATGTGAATTTCTAGAAATAAAAACCTGTGGAAAATTTTTAGGCAACATAAATGGGCACAGGCTGGCTAAAATCAATATTCTCTTAATCAATTCACTAGTTGAAAAGTCTATATTGTGAAATAATTATTTCCTCAGTAATAATGCTTTGTGACTCTAGTTTAAAGAGTCCATTAAATGTGTATGGTGGTACTTGAGGCCTCGAGTACTGTGTTCAGTTTTGGGCTCCTTACTACAAGAAAGACATTGAGGCCCTGGAACGTGTCCAAAGAAGGGCAACGAAACTGGTGAGGAGTCTGGAGCACAAGTCTTATGAGGAGCGGCTGAGGGAGCTGGGATTGTTCAGCCTGGAGAAGAGGAGGCTCAGGGGAGACCTCACTGCACTGTACAACTTCCTGAAGGGAGGTTGTGGTGCAAAAGGGTCTGGCCTCTTCTCCCAGGCAAATAGTAGGACCCGAGAAAATGGGAAGAAGTTATACTAGAGGAGGTTTAGGTTGGATATTAGGAGAAACTTTTTCTCTCAAAGGGTGGTCAGGCACTGGAATGGCTGCCCAGGGAGGTGGTGGAGTCGCCGTCCCTGGTGGTGTTCAAGAGGCGCCTGGATGAGGAGCTATGAGATATGGTTCAGAATCATAGAATCATAGAATCATAGAATCACCAAGGTTGGAAAAGACCTAAAAGATCACCCAGTCCAACCGTTCACCTATTCCCAATAGCTCCTACTAAACCATGTCCCTCAACACAACATCCAGTCTTTCCTTGAACACCCCCAGGGTCGGTGATTCCACCACCTCCCTGGGCAGTCCGTTC